GGAGACGGGTTTTTTGGAGGAATCTATTCCCCTCTGTCCCCTATATATCAATATATAATAAAACTCTTGCTGCCCACCTCACCCCTGTCTCAGGATTGGCTATTGAGGTAGGCAGCTCCAATCTTCATTATTGCGGTAATATCTTCATTACATTTCTGTGTGAGAAATTGAGACATGAAATTAAACACTTGAATATGATCAAATAGAAAGCTCAGAGATGGAAATGGAATGATAATTCAAATTTCTGTACCACTGATACTGGACAAAATTTACGTATTCTGCATTTGTGGAGACAAATTACACACAGGGGAAACATTATATTTTAAAATAAAATCATTGTTATAAATTTTAATTGGATACAAGGACATGACTTAAAAATCCTTTGTGTTGGTGTCTTGGCAGTTATCCTGGTGACACAGAGACGGTACATCTAGCAATTAAGGATAGAGCAAACTAACCATGCAAAAATACATCCTAGTATCCCAGGCATATGTTTTAGGCATGAAGCCAAAAGTAGCACACAGATAGCTCCCTGGAAAATTGCTGATTCCAGTTAGCAAATAACGAAAATATCCATCTCTAATTTTTTAGCAAGAAACAAATTGATTATTCATTAGAAAATTAATAAAATTATCAACTCATGATTGCACAGCATTTGAGTACCAGGAGGATTGGTAGTCATTCAGGAAAGTGAGTAGAATTCTGGCGGTTCATTAGCTTAAATCTAAACTGGTTTACTGAAGACTTATAAATCCTTACTTTTATATTTTATGAGGCCCCACTCACCTACCCAAAGCCCGGTGACCTGTCTTGGGTATTATTTCCTGATAGTCACTAGTTTTCAGCAAAGAGTACAATTCTTTCCAATATAAAGTGAAAAGGGAAGGAGCTCAACTTGATGAAAGCATGGAGTTTTGTATTCACTTGCTCCTTTTGGACATTATGCAGTGATCTGAATACCGAGTCAGCCCCTGTGGTGAATTATTTTTGTAGAATATTTAGCTATGCTTCAGAAATCTGAAAGCAGAAGTGTATAATTCAAAAGATCATCCAATCTTGAAACTGGCGGACATTATGCTGAGTGAAATAAGCCAATCACAAAAGGACAAATATTGTATGAGACCTCTATTGTAAAAACCCATGAAAAAGTTCACACACAAAAAGTAACAATCTTTGTTGGTTACCAGGGATGGGAGGGGTGGGCGGGAATACTAAATAGGCAATAGATATGTGGTATCTTGGGTGAAGGGTGAGACAGTACACAATACTGGGGAAACTAACACAACTTGTACAAGGAAAGGTCATGGAAGCCCCATAGACACATCCAAACTCCCTGAGGGACTGAATTGCTGGGCGGAGGGCTGTGGGGACCATGGTCTCGGGGAATATCTAGCTCAATTGCCATAACACAGTTTATAAAGACAATGTTCTACATTCTACCTTGCTGAGTAGTGTCTGGGGTCTTAAAAGCCTGTGAGCAGCCATCTAAGATACTCCACTGGTCTCATCCCTTCAGGAGCAAGGGAGAATGAAGAGAACAGCATACAAGCAAAAGATTAGTCCGAAGGACTAATGGACCACAGCTACCAAGGCCCCCACCAGACTGAGTCCAGTAAAGCTAGATGGTTCCTGGCTACCACTACTGACTGCTCTGACTGGGATCACAACAGAAGGTTCTGGACAGAGATGGAGAAGGATGTAGAACAAAATTCTAACTCACAAAAAAAAGACCAGATTTACTGGCCTAAACGAGACCGGAGAAACCCTGAGAGTATGGCCCCCAGACACCCTTTTAGCTCAGCGGTGAAGTGACTTCCCAGGTTCACCGTTCAGCCGGGGAGTGGACAGCCCCATAAAACCAAATGGGACTAATGAGGCACAGCAGTCCAGGGACAAGGGCCAGAAGGCAGAAGAGGACAGGAAAGCTGGTGATAGGGAACCCAAGGTTGAGTAAGGATAGTGTTGATGTGTTGTGAGGTTGTTAACCATTCCATAGGGCAACATGTGTACTAACTGTTTACTGAGAAACTATTTTGTTCTGTAAACCTTCATCTAAAGTAAGAATAGCAGCACAACTGGAAGAGCGTAGTCGATGTCACTGAACCGTGCATGTAGAAATTTTTGAAATGGTATATCTTTGGCTATGTATATTTTCACCAAAAAAAAAAAAAAAGATCGAGAAGGGAGAGGGTTGACATGTTGTGGGGTTGTTAACCAATGTCATAAAACAATATGTGTACTACTGTTTAATGAGAAACTATTTGTTCTGTAAATCGTCACCTGAAGTACAATAAAAATTAAAAAAAAAACAAAAATAAAAATGAATTAAAAAAAAAGATCATCCAACCTTTTAAGAAGTAAACTGATGGCTTTATTGTTAATCAACTGTGGTAAGATGTGGGGTACTATGGTTTTCAAATGTGATTTCAGGGAGTGTATTAGCATGGAAGGTGTTCACATTCTTCAGGACAGTCTAAATGACCTTGCTTAGCATATGACTGAGTATTAGAGTCTATTATAGTAAAAGGATGTAGCAAAGTCATGATGTTCTAAAATGGTAGGCATGCAGTTTGCAAGTGCTTAAAAATAAGGCCAAAGCTCCAAGGTTAATTCAAAATATTTTAGACTTCAAGGCTTAAAACTTCCCATGTTAGCAGTTTTGTGGTGTTGCCAAAAGCTTGCACGTTTATGACAGCAAAGTCCTTCATTATCTGTACCAACCTTTGATTCAAATGTTTGGACGTATAGCAATAATGGCACTACATTATTGATAAACAGATTAAAAAATAACTTAATTGTATTTAAAACTCAGTCATCAAAATGCCCTAACAGGAAGGGCCATCACAAAAACACACATACTAGAATGTTCATAATAGCACTATTCAAAATAACCCCAAACTGGAAACTACCTTAATGTCCATCATCAGAATAATGAATTCATAAATTGTGGTATATTCACACAGTGAATACAATGAATGATCTATATGTAACAACATGGAAGAATCATACAAGCATAATGTTGTGTCAAAGAAGGCAAAAACAAAAGAGTGCAAATTTTTATGATTTTATGTATATTAAGTACAGATACAGGCAAAACTAATCTATGTTATTAGAAGTCAGTTACCCTTAGAAGGAGGCAGTGACTAGAGGGGGCATAAGAGAGGCTTCTGGGTGCTAATAATGTTCTGTTTCGTGACCTAGGTGCTGGATACACAGGTGTGTTCAGATTGTGAAAATTCATTGAGCTGTATAGTCTTAGGATATGTGCACTTTTCTGTACTTCCATAAAAAGTTTTAAAGAATATTAGGAAGCTCGTAGAAATTGAATGTCAATTCAACATAATAATCCTCAATGTCATTAGTAGAATTTGAGAGCCAGCCATGTGATGAACTGAACAGAGTACACTGATACACTGAACAGAGTGTTCAATAGAGTCAGAACAGCTGTTCCTGCACAAGGATACCTAAAATGTCAAAACAAGCTAATCATTTACCTTTAAAATCTCTAGTCTCTCTGCTTTTCTCTACCTCCAGTGATATTGCCACAGTTTAAGCCATGTCATCTCCCACCTTGAGTTGGATCTGCCGTAGTCTACTAACCAGTCTCCCAATAGCCCGTTCTACCAGTTCTCCACACATTAACCAAAGTGATTTAAAGCCCAAACCAGATCCTTTCACCCCTTTGTTTAAAATGCCTCAATACATTCCCATTAAATTTAAAATATAACGCAAACTCCAAGGCATGGCTACATGGTCTGGCCCCTGCCTACCTCATCTGCCTCATCTCATCCTGCTCCCACCCTTACTAAGCTAGAGCTACACTGGCCTTCTTTCTGTTCTTCCAAAATGCCACCTGTCCCACCTCAGGACCTTTGCCCTATTGTTCCTTCTTGCCCAGAGCACTCATTTCTTTACTCATTTCATGGCTAGCTAGCTGATTTCCCTCTCACTCTTGGAGACTCAGCTTACGCATCATCTCATAAAGATATATACATATTTTTAAATTGTGGTAAACATATATTAACAAAACATTTGACATTTCAACAGTACAGTTGAGTGGCATTCATTATATTCATCATGTTGTTAACCATTATCCATTCCCAAATTTTACCATCGCTTAAGAGAATCGAAGTGTCTCCTAAGCATTGTCATAAAGGTATATTTCACACCCCTATCTAAAGTCAAAGGCATCACTTCTTGATTGATACCTTTGAATTATGGTATTGGCGATGAATATTGAATATACCATGGACTGCCAGAAGAACGAACAAATTTGTCTTGGAAGAAGTACAGCCAGAGTGCTCCTTAGAAGCAAGGATGGTGAGACTTGTCTCACATACTTCAGACATGTTATCAGGAGGGACCAGACCCTGGAGAAGCACATCATGCTTGGTAGAGGGTCAGCGAAAAAAGGAAGACCCTCAAGGAGATGGATTGACCAGTGGCTGCAACATAGTTACGACTGTGAGGACGGCGCAGGACCCGGCAGTATTTTGTTCTCTTGTACATAGGGTTGCTAAGAGTCGAAACTGATTCCACGTCACCTAACAACAGTGCCTAGTACAGTGTCTGGCACGTGAAAGGTCCTCCATAAATATAGAAATACTTGTCGAGTTAATGAATAGACATTTCTAAGGGACCACTATTCAGTCATGAAGAAAACGCTGCACTGCTAACTTTTCAAACAGCATGAAACCAGAATCTTTTTGAGCTCTGGCCAGTGTTGGCATTCCGTTCTCGGTGTCCTAGTTACCACAATCCCCGCCCCCTTGACAGCATTGACACACCCCACTCCTCGACCACCTAGCGCCTTGCCAAGTCGGCGGCCCCACCCGCCGCCCAGGCGCCCGCTCATTGGCCGCCTTCCCAGACTCTCCGGTGGGAGGGGCGGCACCGCCAGCTGCTACTGGCCAAAGTTGATGTCGCTCTGCCGCGCGCGGCTAGAAGTCTGCAAAGTCATATTGCAGTTGCGGGGAGGCTCGTTCCCATCAAGGTCTGTGATTAGCTGCGACCGAGGGCCCGGGAGGCAACCACGCCGACAGGCCAAGCTCAGATTGGCGGGAGTTGCTGTCAGTCAGCGGGAACAGACATCCCCTCTCTATCTGGCCAACTGCACCGAAAAATTGTCGAGTATTTCCAGCAGACAAGGCGGTGGCGGTTTTAGCTGCTTGTTCCAGAGATCAGAAACATCGGAGAAGGCAATCATATTTACCGATCAAGAAAGCCCCTCCCTTGTCCTCCATTAGCTAATTAAAAATTTTACAGGAACATAACCATCACAAGGTAAGAGACTAATCAGTGCAATTAATTCATGTATTTCTGGCAACAGTTTATAATGTTATTTGTTGAGGAAAGTTTCCGGGGAAAGGGAAGGGGAAATGGTTTAATTTCCCCAGACTCGTCGGTGCAAGCCTCACGGTCAGGCTCTCCGTCTTCTCTGTGCTTCGCTTTCTTCCCCTCGGAGGTCACGAGCAGCAGGTCGCGGCAGGGCCCACCCTAGCGGTACAGTCGGCACACGGCGTTTCTTGCCGAGACCGAGCGCTCGGCCTTGAACTTGACCGCCACTGGAGGCGCGCGCGGTGCTACCGGAGCAGGCGGGGTGGGCCCGGGTCGGCGCGAGAGTGCGGAGATGAAAGGGAGGCGGGGATTCCCGGGGTCGGAGGGAGGGAGGATGGAAGGGAATCAGGCGGTGCCGGCTCCCTCCCGCCTGCGTTTCCTCCAGCGTTGCCCTGCGGTCGCCCTGCTCGAAGCCCCGGGAGGCGAGAATGCAGCGGGGAGCAGCGCCGCGTCGCCACCGCAGCAGCCATCCCGGCAACGGAGACGTGGCGACACCCGGCATCTGTACGCGGACGCAGAGGTTGGGAGGCGGAGACCCGTCAACGGAAGGTAGTGGGAGAACCCAGCCATCTGCAAGTGCTGCGCGCTGCTCGGGCGGGAGGGTTTTCTTCCTGTCTTGTGTCACGGTCGTCTGCCACGACCAGAATCTACGACCAAGAGCCCAGTATCCTGAACTGCCCAGAGGATGAACTTTCCAGGGGATCGGTATAGTGAAGGATGAAGACACCTGGTTGACTTTGATCTGAGGACTTGGGTTTTGCTTTGCCAGGAGAGCAACTGTGATCACATGGCCTAGGCTTTTTTTAGCAGTCGCTTTCTGTAGATTAGAGAATTCGCAGGCGGTGACAAAGATGATGCTCTGGGTGGAAATAGCCAGAGAATTTCGAACGTCTAAAGCTCTTGTGGCTTTCTGAGCTTCAGACTGGGAACGTGCTGCAAGGGCACAGTTCTTTGCACACCCCCGGCACTGCAGATAGAAAGAATGAGGTTGTCAGGCGGCTTCAGAATAGGCGACTGAAGTTACAGGTTGTTATGGTGTCGTGATATGCTAGTTATGCTGCCGTGGCAGAAGGAAGAGTAAAGCCTGTGAGTAAATGTGTGTGTTTCAAAGTATCTGCATAAATGTAAAAATTGGAAAAGAACAGATGCACCACTGTATCATAAAATAACTTAAACTTTTTATTGTACCAACATTTGCCGGTTCAACGTCTTTCATACAATTTAGTGACATCAGTTACATTAATCATGTTGGGTAATCATTACCAATAATCGTTGACATATTTCCCATCACCATAAACAGAGCTTAGTTATAATTTTTGAGGTATAAATATTGAGCGTTACTTTCTGCGGACCACCACCACACATACCTTCCTCAACTGGAATGGTAGTGAAGTGTAAAGAAGAGAGGAGAGTGCTGGTAATGTAGAATAGAATGTAAGCGAAAATTCTTCAGTGAAGCATCAAGTTACAGGTTTGAAATATGGTCTGTGGCTTGTGTCCACATTAACTAAAATGTTTTAAAAGGTATCTACAGAATTGTAATAATGAATACTTTTCATATCAAAGAAAGCCATTTCTACAACAAACCTAGGGCGGCGAGTCTCTTGGGGTTTTGCTGTTGTTTTCTTTTTTCACTCAGGGATTGTTCGTGTTGTTTGCTCTTTTCCCTCAGGGGACTAGTACATTTTCTTTGCCTTCCTCTCAGTAGAGTTCTGGTAGAGAAGATATTGGGATTCAAACTTACTGGAATATGTTCTGGAGGTTTTCATATCATTTGAATTTATTGGGAAACATTAATGTCAGTAGAGAAATATTTGCGAAGTTCATTTCTTAGACCAAGGGTATTTAGTTCAAGACTTTTAGAAATTACCTTGTGTTTCCAGTGTGAAAGTAGTTACTAATGTAGTGGTCCCAGAGTGCCATTTTAAAATGGGCAGGTATGAATACTTTCTTAAACTTGTTTTGCTGCAGGGTTAGATCTAAGCAGGTTTCAGCAGTACTGATCCTTAAACCAAAAAACCAAACCCTTTGCCGTCCAGTTGTTTCTGACTCTTAGCAACACTATAGGACAAAGTAGAACTCTCCTGAATAATTTTGACATGTGCTTAAAATGACAACAATAAACTGCCCTTTTGACCTGCTTTCAACATCTCAAGAGCAGCTTGACTCGAATCCCAAATCCATCCTCCTGCCAGAGGCAGTGCCTCCTTTTTCTAAAAATAAATTTGGAGAGCTCTGAGGCGTTCAAACCATGGAGGGATTATAAAATAGAGTAAGATGAAAAAATAAAATTGGCTTAGCAATCTTATAGCCATAAACTATGGCATCAGCCCACCACGTTTCTTTTTTTTAAAATCAAATATGATTTACTACAAACTAAATGTTTTATTCCTTTTCTTCCTGATACTTCTGTCCTGAGATTTCCTGCTCTCAGTCTGTAGGTGTTCACCACATATAGAATCTCTGTGCATATCCTTGGTGCTGAGAATCACCCCTGCCAGTCAGAATTATCAAACCAGGGGCCAACTTTGTTCTTCTGTCTCGATTCTGTGTCAGAGCCTTAGAGCATTGGATTAACCAGTTACATCATTGAGAAGGGAAGGAGAGGGGGAGGACCTGGTTACACAAACCAAGATGGAAAGGAAAGACTTTTCAGACGTTTCTTTATTGACAGTATATAAAACATATAGGTTTTAGCTGAAATTCCACGGTGATGCAGATAGTTAAGTTCTTGGCTGCTAACCAAAAGGCGGGAGGTTTGAGTCCACCCAGAGGCACCTCCGAGGAAAGGCCTAGCCGTCTACTTCCAAAAAATCAGCCACATGGGGTCTCCATGAGTCAGAGTCAGCTCATGATTTTTATAGGTTTTGGGGGTGTGTTTGCACACACAGATACACATACATACACTTTTTAAAAATTCATGTGGTTGAGGTAAATTGTGAACCATGCATTTTGTTTCGATTGGGAAATAAAAAGTAATTTGGAAGACAGTCAGTCTAGGTGGAAGATGAATGTCCATTTTTTTTTTTTCCTTTTGGACTATTGACTCAATATATTTTAGATTGATTATAGAAATAACCATGGAGTCGCTGAGTGGTGCAAATAGTTAAGCGCTCAACTGTTAGCAGAAAGGTTGGTGGTTCTAATCCACCTAGAGGTACCTCAGAAGACAGGCCTGACGATCTGCTTCTGGAAGGTCACAGCCTTGAAAACTCGCGGAGCAGTTCTACTCTGCACATTTGGGGTTGTCCTGAGTCGGAGTGGACTTGACGGCAGCTAACAACACCACAGAAATAACCTATGTTACGTAGCTAGGATTCCAGTCAAGCTCTTTATCTTGACTTCCTTGTTTAGCATTGTCTTTAAATTTTATTTTTACTAGTAGAATATGATATAAGGCATGATGTATTCTTGTGCGTAGTTCATTAACTTTGATATATTTTGTGTTTTCAAATGGCTTCAAGCACAGTATATCTGCCTTGACTCTTTTGGATGACTTTGACTTCCAAAGATTGGATATAAATGTTAAAATAGTTAATAAAAATAAGCTTATTTTGGAATAACCTTCATTTTGGACTGAGAGACTGACATAAAGTCTCCCTTGCGTAATCAAAAATGATTCCTGAATAACTTTTTTCAGTTTTCGGAATGATAAACTCATCCACTTTATAATTGCTGAACTAACAGATAATAAAGACAATTCTTAGGTGTTTATCAGTTGCTGTCCACTCTTTTTGTTATAAAGAACACTGATTGCTTTTTTTTTTTTTAAGTTTTTATTGTTTTTCACATCACAGATTCTTTTCCCCTTGCCCGCTAGTGAGTGTTCCATGGGCAGCTGGGGAGCTGTGACTCCAGGTAGGACCCATGATGGCCGATTCTGTTTGACCCTGGAAGAAACTTTTCTTGCTGTGCCGGTTTAACTCAAATTTGTTATTTAACTTGGGAACAAAGGTCAAGTTTGAATAGTTTCTTTGGGAATATGGGGTCGGGAGGATTAGTAGAAGTTAGTGATATTTCATATGGAAAAGAAGATTGAACCACTTCTTAAAGTCTCCAGCTGGCATAGATGATGCTGACCTAGTTTTGTAGTACTGACTATGTAATAATTGGCTCGAGTTTCATCTCTGCTAAGTATGTCTTAAAGTAGACGTTGTCCTATGACTATTCTCCTTACTTTCTGAGATGATTTACAGACAAGAAATGAAGGAGGCCAGGTTAATGATTGATTTTGGTACATAAAGGCTTAAAGAAACTGCCCAAAATGCATTTTATCTCATCATTAAATAATATTTCCAGGGGATATTTGCTCCCTGCTAAGAAATGCAGTTCTACTTTTTTTTCTAGAAAGTAGAAAGGAAAACAAAAAAAGGCAAGAGTATCTTAGAAGACCTGCAGAAAAAATTATTTAGTATTTATTTATTTGTAATTCTAGGACTATTATGCCTGCTTTTAGACTCAGGACAAAAGAATAGTACTTTACTATCTCTGGTGCAGTCTTCAAATATGAATGTGTTTTCTAATAAACATTTTTATTTAAAGTATTTTTTTAAACCTATATGGCATAAAGCTACTTTGTGAATTATCTCCACTAATGATTAGTACTTACTTCTATTACTTGTTAGGTTGTATTAGAGTTTGAAATTTCACCACAGGTAGTGTTGTAGGGGGAAAAACATCACAAAGTTTAGTAAAGAAAAAGAAAGTTTTATTTGGCATATATTCAAAAAGGCAGATGTGGGAAATGGACAAACATGCTGTTGGAGCCATGTCTACCTGAGTCCAGGGAAATATCACAGGACAGACAAAAGTGGGGGAATGGACAAGCATGCTGCTAGAGCCATGTCTGTCCAAGTCCAAAGAATATTACCGAACGGGCAAGAATGGGAAAACGGACAAGCATGCTGCCACAACCGTGTCTGCCTGAGTCCACAGACCATTACAGAATCATCAGTATATATTAACATTACAAATGGGCAAAACCAGTGAAAGTGTCACCTTGTCACAGATTGACTAGAAACCGTGATCCTACATTTTGAATCGTCTTTCTTAACAATCATTGGTACAGGTTTCAGTAATGACAGTCAGGAGGGTCTTAGTTGCTCCAACAAATTTCTATTTACTAAATGCTAATAGAAAAAGATAAGAGTAGAAAGTCTTTTGTATTCTGTTGGATTGGCTTTATGTGAAAGTTTCCCTAAAAGACCTTTTCCAAGATTATTTTAGCTATTGTCTTTATACCTCAGGGCCCAGTTGATAAGTCCTTGTGAGTCCTTGTGAGCCCAGCTCCAGGTGGGTCACATTCTCTGTGCTCAAGGACAGGCAATAATAACTGCAATATTATTTCCTAAATCAGTAGTTACCTACATTTAACATATTGTTGCTGAATAAAATATAATCTTCAGTCAGAAGTAGATGAACACACATCTCATTTTACTGTTTTTTAATACTTGACTGGATGTTTCACTTAAAACAGTAACCAGAGATGCTGTTTCTCTTCCCTTAGCCCTCAGATATTGTCTTAAAAAGAAGTGAATTTCACTCTTTTATGATTGATCTTAGTCAGAGGCCAAGAAAGGATGACCTCCTAAATCTTTTGTGATACGTTGTTTATGGGACTACCTTTATTCTAAATTCTCTGATGGCGGGACTTATAAGTGTTTTCTTGCTTAAATAATCTAACTAAGGGTATTCTTTGGAACTTCATCCTTTCTTTCGACTGCTTTTACCCACTGGAAGGAGTAATGACCCATACACATAGGTAGACTGATTTTCCAAAGTTTCATTTGAAAAGATTGCTTGAAATCTGTAATGCATTTTCTCATAGAGATACTCAATCTGGACTTTTTTTTAGATGTGTTTGAGCCTTTTGGGAGGGATACATCTTTTCAAGCTCATTTTTTATTGTGAAATAATTCAAACATAACACCACAAAAAAACCAAACCCATGCTGTCGAGTCCATTCCGACTCATAGCAACTCTATGGGACAGAGTAGAACTGCCCCATAGGGTTTCCCAGTCTGTAATCTTTACAGGAGCAGATCGCCATGTCTTCTTCTCCTGTGAAGTTGCTGGTGGGTTTGAAACCACCAGCCTTTCAGTTAGCAGCCACCACTTAACCACTATGCCATCAGGGCTCCTCAATTCAAACATACAATTGAAAATAATATAATATTTGAACCAGCCAGTGAAAACCATATGGATCACAATGATTCTATCCGATTGTGCATAGGGTGCCATGAGTTGGGAGTGACTCCATGGCAGCTAACAACAAAGACTACATATCCTCTCTATCATCATTTTCAAATCTTAACATTATGCCGTCTTCTCAAGTTGGTTTTTAATTCTTAATGTAACCAGACAAAGTACTATGGAGATGAATTTCTGCTTAGAACCTTCTTGGTATGGAAAACTGCCAGAAATACAGCCCTCCCTGCAGGGGGTAGGAATTCCCTTGACAACACTCTGTAGTGCCAGGGTAGGCCTGAGGGTTGAGCTTTGGGGCAGAGTCCGGAAGTGGAGGTGCAGAGGAATGGCAGAGTCACCTCTCTCACTTGAAGTTTTGCAAAGTAATGGTTTCAAAGAAGCATAGGCTCCGATGCTGTCTTTGCTGGAGTTGTCGGCAACTTGGGGTGAGGTGTAGGTGGGCTCCTGGGTTGGGGGAGGGGAGCTGCAGCTGTTAGTGTCAGTGCATAGATCAGTTGCTCATAAATCAAGGCTGCTTGTCACACAGGAATGCCACTCATTTCCTGAGATCACATCCACACCTCCCAAGAGCCCATGCATGTCTACCACAAAGAAAAACAGAACTGGCTTATTTCTGTGCATATGAGGATGTGGCATGAAGCACGGTCCTTTAACCCTGGTAATTTAGTATGTAAAGATTCTTCATAAACAAACAGCTTAGATCCTAGATTCTGTCTTTGCTAAAACGTGGCCATTCCTTATGGTCAGGACTATCGTAAATATTCTATCAACCAGTTATTTATCATTCTTTTATTTCTATCTCTCATAAGAGAGTCTGTTATTATTAATATTTTGGCCTTACCTTTTCTGTAGACCAATAGATTTAATGAGGGGAAGAGTGTTTATTTACACCTGTATTCTATGTTCTTGCTGCTCAAAGTATAGCCTGCAGACCAGCAGCTTCAGCATCACATAGAAGCTTATTAGAAATGCAGAAATACAGGCCCCACCTCAGACCCACTGAATCGGAATCTGCATTTTAACAAGATTCACCAGGTGATTGCATGTTAAAGTTTGAGAAGCACCGTTCTATATTATATGTAGCATACAGTCAAACTTCTATAGAATTTAAACACTGTAAATGGGGTAGGTAAATTGATCCAGGTATTATCCACTATTCTTAGAAGTAGACTGCTGAAAACCACACCGACTAAACGTACATTGTATGTCAGGTTCTCTGTAGCCTTCATTTTTGGTAATATCCCTGGCTGGTGAAAATGGTTAAGTGCTTGACTACTAGCTGAAAGGTTGGCAGTTCAAATCCACCCTAAGGTGCCTCGGAAGACAGGCCTGGTGGTCTGCTTCCAAAACGTCACAGCCTTGATAACCCTGTGGAGCACAGTTCTACCTGGCACACATGGGGTCTCCATGAGTTGGAATTGACTTGATTGCATCGAACAACGATGGATATCAGTTATACTCAATTACTAATGGAGTCTCCCTCTGTTTTGCTTTGTTTTTTCTTTTACCCAGTTGCATCATCTTTCTTGAAGATATTCCATTATTATTCCACTGACCTGTCCCTCATCACTAAGTCCATTGGATCTGAGTTATGTCAACAGCTGCCTTAATTACTTTGGTTAGAAGTGGTGGTAACCAGGTGAGAAGGAGAGTGCTGCTAAGCTCCTGCCTGCTACAGGATGACCGGCTATTGACGCCCACCTGCCACAGCTCCACCTCAGAGCCCAGGAGTTCTCGGTTTGACTCAGACGGTAGTGGGCGTCCAGCCACCTGGGACAATTTTGGGATCTGGGATAACCGCATTGGTGAACCAATTCTGCTACCACCCAGCATTAAATATGGCAAGCCAATTCCCAAAATCAGCTTGGAAAATGTGGGCTGCGCCTCGCAGATTGGCAAACGGAAAGAAAATGAAGACCGTTTTGACTCTGCTCAGTTAACGGAGGAGGTCCTGTACTTTGCAGTGTATGATGGTCATGGGGGACCGGCAGCTGCTGATTTCTGTCACACCCACATGGAGAAATGCATTATGTACGTACAATGACTTCCACTCTTGACTTTGCAGTTTGCTTTATGCTTATATTGTAAACTTTCAACTTAGAGTCTTCCAAATGTAGTTGTTTGAGTGGTTGCCTACTGTCGCTTCATGAACAAGCAGTAGCTTAAAGATGACATTTTCCAGCTTCTTGTTGATGATAAAAGAGAAGCTGCTTTAATTTGCAATAATCATTTCAGAAATGTGCCTTTTAGCAACTCCGCTGGTGAAAGTATGGACCAGAATTTACAGCACCTGATTTGTGATTATTTCAAGCAAATAAACATAAAGTGCGTGAGACAGTGTATGAGAAGCATTTACTCTAATCAGTGCAGGACACATAGTGTTTCAATAAATGGTAATTATTCTTTAAATGTTGTGAATAGCTTTGAATACTTGACTTTCTGGAGATTGGCATTAGTGAGGGAGAAATGCATTTACAGGTGTTTTAGAGTACTTTAAATAATTTATTTACTCCAATTATTATGAATGCATTTTTGAGATATCACCCTACTGCTAGAATTCAAAGGGGGAAAACGTGACAGAGTTGGACCATGTAACCATTTCTTATCTTCCTGTGTACTAGTTCTCTTGTTGTTGTGTGCTGTTGAGTCGATTTCGACTCATAGCGACCCTATAGGACAGAGAAGTAGAACTGCACCATAGGGTTTCCAAGGAGCAGCTGGTAGATTCGAACTACTGACTGTTTCGGTTAGCCCCTGAGCTCTTAACCACTGTGCCACCAGGGCTCCAGGGTTGTCTTAGTGAGTATTAATTCTTTAAGAACTTTATTTTTGTGCCCTTAAAAGCTTGTCAGTAGGGCATTGGTGGTAGAACTCTCGCCTTCCATATGGGAGACATTGTTTCAGTTCCCAGTCAATGTACTTCATGCGCAGCCACCACTTGTCTGTCAGTGGAGGCTTGCATGCCGCTGTGATGCTGAACAGGTTTCGGCAGAGTTGACAGACTAGGAAGAAAGGCCTGGCAATCTCTTTCCAAAAATCAGGGAAAACCCTGTGGATCATAACAGCCCGATCCAAACCAAAACAGATCATGGGGATGGTGCAGGACCAGGTAGCATTAAGTTCTGTTGTGCATGGGGTCACCATGAGTTGGGAGGTTGACTCAAAAACAGCTAACAGCAACAAAGGCTTATCACAGTCCTTAACAGATGCTTAATAAACAGTCTTTAATCAGTGGATCTTAAGCACCTGAAAGGAAAGTCAAGGTTGTCAATTATGTGGAATGACTCCTCTAGATAAGAGTGACTATGAAGAAGATGGGAAAAAACCATTGTAAAATGATTGGAGCTCTTTTTTCCTCCCCACAAAGGGATTTGCTTCCTAAGGAGAAGAACTTGGAAACTGTGTTGACTATGGCTTTTCTAGAAATAGATAAAGCCTTTTCGAGGCACGCCCACCTGTCTGCTGATGGTATGTGAAACAATCACATTTCTTAAGGTCCTTGGGAGTGGCGGGGTAAAAAGGAAACAACTTTAAGCCTTTTAGGGGTGGGAATTTTAACGTATGCTTAATTGTAAGGATACTTATGTAGCTAATTATTTCATATAAAGAATCATTTTAAATGCTTTTTGGGAATCCAAACTGATGTCTGTACCTCACTTTGAAATGAAATATATTGGAGAAGTTCTCAGAAAGATAAGCTCCAAAAGTGTTCTTCATTAAAATAATTTACTTTGATTTTGTATTTTAATTTTAAAAGGATTTGAAGAAAATTTTAACCTGCTTGATTGCTCGTTTTAGTGGACAAGATGGCCATGCTCCAAGAAGGTTTATTTTTACTAGATGAATCTGATGAGGAAGTGCTGAAATAAACTATAGGCTTATCCTATCTAGATAGGACAGGAATGGCACAGACAAGAAAAAAACTGCTTATAGGTCCTTAATAGAAAAGGGCAATGGCTAATATGCACTGATTTGCAATTAGATGGAAGATATTTTTCCTCCTTAAAAAAAGCTTGATCTTGCAGGTTTCTTTTAACTAGTGATACTTTTGTTTTCATATGTTAAACACAAGGGTAAGCCAGCTGAATATAAAAATTGATGTACCATATGTCCTTAGATTTTGAAAGGAAGATGTTTCTGGCTTTTACTGAATTTATCAAAACCATTTCAGGAAAATATAGCTAATGTTTTCTGGTTAGCTGGCCCCCAAATCTTTTGCTCATAATGTTAATCTTACAAATTTCTTCATCGGCCGTATTAGTGTATGCATGGAGACCTGATTTGAAAAGGAATCGGGTAATACTATTAATCTGTGTTTGGTTCATCCTTTTCTTTAGAGGAGGTCAAAATGCACCACAAAAATGTCATTTTCACAAATTTCTGTTGGAATGGGTAGGGATGGAAATTCTCGCTGTTTCCCAGATGAAGGAACTGAAGCTCTAAGACAGGTAATGGTCAGTGGCAGAGTTAGCAATGGGGTTTTTGGCTCCCTGTGTAGCCTCTCGCTCCCACTGGCGTATTTAATTAAGGAGATTGGAGAAGGGAATTGTGGATGGCTAGATTTGCCATCTTGAGGTTTTTCCTGCCCTTCGCTCCTCAGAAAAGCAACTCTTCCTTTGTTTAGGGATTTATTTTTCTAATTTATTAGATTATTCAAGCCTATTATCTCTTCTTCATTCCGCTGGATTTTTTTTTCCCTCTCAACTGGCCCTTTGCCTTAAAAAAGATGAGGGTTGAGAGAGGGTGCATTTTATGCCTGAGGTTTAGCTCTTGTTCGTAATGGGCAAAACACATGAAGGGGAATAGGAAATTAAAACTCTTCCTTATAGTTTTATTTTTATAACTCTCTGAATTTTGGTATGCTCTTTATTTCATTCATAGCCAGGTTGCTGTGAGTCTGGCTGTATCTCACACCGTGTATGTGGGTTATAACACCGGTGGTGTGTAAACAGGTACAGCTTAGTCAGCAAGGTTTTCAGAAAAGAAGATTCAAGTTTATCATGGGCATGTGGACACAAACCAAAAACATTAACCTTTCATGGGTGCAGTCAGCCCATTTGAAAGGATCTAATGGACCCAGATGCTTAAAACAATCAATAGTAGGATCAGTGTAAAATATGAGAGGATGGCCGTCACTTATTAAATAATAAATTATAATTAAAGGTAATTTTGAGTTTAGGGAGAAAATTTATTTAACTTGCCTACCTTAAAACAAGCTTTCTAAAGATGCCTTTCTCTCATAGACAATCAGACAAGTGTGCAAAGAAATTAAGGGTAAAATTTTAATTCATTTCTAATAATGGAATTAAAATGTATTTATTTAATTTCTTTGTCATATGTTTTGAAGTAATGATCCTGGATCTTTCATGAGATATATGTTTTTTTAAATGTTTTTCATCTAGTGGCCATAGTTTGCGAGCATAATGGAGCAAGATAGAATGACTCTTAGTGTGCTGCTAAAAGTTAAAAGGTCTATTATGACTTTGTTATTGTTAAATCTTATTGTGTATATACTCTTACAGGTCAATTAATCTGTGAATTTTTTTTTTTTAGTTACTGTTTTGAGAACAGTTTTAAAATTTATTCTTTATAAGTTGCTTTGCTGAAGCTTTCAAAGATGGCAAAAATTACCTTTTGATATTTGGGGCCTGTTTTATCAAATATATTAAAGCCACTAAAGATTAATTTCTGCATGTTGTTTAACTTTTCAGTTTGTGGAGATTAAAAGAAAAATGTATGCCATTTCAGATTTTCAAGTGATTATCTAAATTTTAAATGGTCTTCTTTTTTCCCTTAATTTTTAGTAAGAACTGAAGCAGTATCAGTATTATAAGAGTGGATAGTATTATTTTCAGTATAGTTACAAGTAGGGCCAATACTAGGTAAACAAAATTGTACAGTTTGCCCTCTCCAAGTTTCTTCTACCTTTTCTCATCATGATGACCTTTTCTCGTCAGCCCCATTTTCCCTCCTATTCAACCCTTCCTGTGAGCAGTTTGAGGATAGGGATCACCATGCCTTACTTGTTTTTGAATCTCCAGTGTTCAGCATGCTGCATGGAATCAGAAAGGTACTCAATAATCAATAATTATTTGGACTGAATTGATCTCCACTGCCTACTCTTCTCACTACAGTTATTGTAATTTGTTTCTTGATTATCTTAGCCAAATTATTTGTGTAATGTATAATGCTTGATAAAGTAGAGGGTCAGCTAAAAAGTGGAAAACCCTCAACGAGATGGATTGACACAGTGGCTGTAACAGTGGGCTCGAACATAGCAACGATTGTGAGGATGGCATAGGACCGGGCAGTGTTTCTTTCTCTTGAACATAGGGTCGCTATGAATTGGAACCAACTCAACGGCACCTAACAACAGCAATAAATGAGTTTTAATGAATTAACACTCCTGAATGGATTTGAACTTAAGTAGCAGAACCATGAAAAGAGATTGGCTAAACCATACTGACAAATCACTAATGGTGAAATATCAGGTATAAATGGAAGGAGTGGCCCTCAATCAAACCGTATTAGTTTTCTTAAGAGAAGTAAGAAAGTGAAAATAAGAAATTTCTGTTCTTTCAAGACTTTAGTTCCAAAGCCCTCACATCTGCTTAAAGCATTTCAAATTATCTCATTAGTATTTAAAATATTCACTGTTTTAAATGAGTGGTGCAAATGGTTAAGTGCTCGACTACTAGCACTTGAACAGTTGGTGGTTGAAACCCACCCAGAGGTGCCTCGGAAGACAGGCCTGGCCATCTGCTTCCGAAAGGTCACAGCCTTGAAAACTCTATGGAGCCATTCTGCTCTGCACACATGGGATTGCCATGAGTCGGAAATGACTTGACAGCAGCTAACAAAAACATTTCAATTTAACCCAGGGATAATTTGAAGTGAAACAAAACTGGACTGCCACTTATCAAGAAACAGCAAGAATAAGACCACCTTATTGCCCTTAAGAAACTGCCAGCTATTTTTATTGTTCTGTTGTTAATGCATTTCGAGTTTGCCCTTTTTTTTTACAACTAGCTAATGTCATTACCATCTTTGAATTTTTTTGCATTCAATTTATACCCATAATGTGTATTTTTACAGTTAATGAAACTAGCTAATAAATTCAAATGATAGCCCCTTAATTAGTCCATTGTTTATTTAAAAACAAAGAAAATCACTTAAAATAAACTAGGTGTTAGAAAACTTAGGTCATAAACCTATATATCCTATAAACTCTTCAAAGTATTTCTAGATTGCTTAAGCTTTGAAAGCAACAAGAGACAAAAGGATCTGAAAGAGAAGACTTGCTCTGACCTTCAGAGTGGGAGACGTTGATGGCAGCATCGTGAGTCTTATGGGAAACTTTCCATGCTCTTCATATTATGTGATTTCTTTATGGAACAATTAAACTACAAAATAACCAGTGTTATAAATGCAACATTTTTTAATACTCTTTTTATGCTGGGGGCCTCCAAAAGAAAAAGATAAATAGGGAAAGCATTTGAAGAGATAATCTCATTGTGCTGTTACTGCTTCAGCTCATTACTTTGATTTTGGTGTCCATAAGCCATACGTGTCTAGAACACCCATTTTTATTAAGTATTGAAACTGTATTGGTTTATACATATGCTTATTTAAAATGGAATATTACCGGGGTAGTTATACTTCGAAAAGTACAGCTTTTACTCTTTATGTTACCATTTAAAATCTTGATCATTTTTCTTTTGATGTGTCTACCTGCAACATTGGAGGAAAGACAGAGCTGCGGAAATACCCATTTTATGAATTATATAAAATAATAAGCATGCTTTAGAGCTCAAGAGCCTTACTAGCCTTTAAACAATAAATTTAAATAAATCATTCTACTTGAAAAATGCCTTCTAGATATGAAATTCCTGCACTAAGCACCATTAACAAATGTGTTACTTTGTGTATCTAGTGTAAGAGATGCTTTGATTCCTTCTTGGCATGTAATTAAATTCCAGTAATTTGCTGGTATACTGCCGTTCACATCCTCTATAAATATGTACTGCTTGTCAGATATTAATTATTCAGTGAATTTTTCCTCTTGTTACTGGGACAATTCTGATATTGCTACCAAATTCACAGCACCTTTTTTGCAGCTAAAGCCCTGGTAGCACAGTGATTAAGAGCTTGACGGCTAACCGAAAGGTCGGCAGTTCGAATCCACCAGCTACTCCTTGGAAACAACTATGGAACAGTTCTGTTCTGTCCTATAGGGTTGCTATGAGTTGGAATTGACTTGACAGCAATAGGTTTTGGTTTTTGTGGTTTTTTTCATAACTCAATAATGTTGAGTTTAAGTGAGTGTGTGCATGCATATGTACATGTGAGTGTACAGATGTGTGTCAGCGTCCCCACATATGTGTTTTGGTGTGAATGCACATGAGTATGCTTTTTCTTCCTTGAGAAGCCATAAAACTAAGAAAGATATGTTACTCCGTGATGAAGGGGGGAAAAAGGCTCAACTACAAAATACCATCAACTGAACAAACTGAGCTTGGAATCATTGATTTGGCATCTCCTGAAATATAATGTAATTTGCTAGTGAACTTTTCACCAAAAATAAAAACCCTTCCCCTTACTTTGCAGCTCTTTCTCTGTCCTCCCCTGTGTTGCAGGTTTGTAATGTTTGAGCACAATTCCTGGGTGAATTTCCTATTTGCCTCTGTGCGTGTTATTTGTGACAGAGAACTGTGCCTGGTCAGCAGCTCTAGATCTGGAGCCCGTGGACACTATATGCTGGGCTTCAGTGGAAAAAGAGGTCTGCTTAATTTTGTCCCAAGTGAAGGAGTCCAGCGGTTCCTAGCCTGGACTACTGGAAGGTTCTCACATCCTCTTTGTCCCATTAGTTGAGATGACTTGCAGTAGAAATTGTCCAGTGAGTGTTAAGAACTTATTGATAGATGTCTTAGTTTTATAGTTTTGTTGTTAGGGTAAAACATGAGAATTTTTACTTCCATGTTTAATGTTAAATGGAAATAAAGGCTGATTCAATATGTATATTCTTAGATGCTTAGCAAGCTAGAATCAACAGTTAGTTTTGAAAACTTTCCCATAAATCCTGAGATTTTGGAGCTGTGAAGTTGAGTTGCTAAAAACTCAAGCTCTTTTAACTTTCTAGGTGGCAGGGCCATGAATTATAAGACTAAACAGTTAAACTTGAAATTTTCATGTATGAAATTTTAACACTTTTGGTGTAGCCAATTAAAAACAGCTTTTTTTAAGCTGCTGCTGACACTTAGTTTAAACCAAGGGGAAGAACACTAAAACTCCCTGGACAGAGAGCATCTGAGTAAGTGCCTGTATTCCCTTGCCTGACCCATTAAGTCACTTGAAAATATCACAGTTGTTACACTGTAAGATTCCTGTTGTATAGTTATTTTGGGAAATTCAAGTTAACTCTTTCAATTGATAATTTAAGTTAGATTAAAAAAAATACGTTAGTTAATGTAAACATCACTGATGCTTATGTGAAAACATTTATGACAAATATATATTTTAGCATTACAGAGATATTATTACTTTGACACAACAGTTCCAAAATCAAGAGATAAATGGGAAGATAGTGCAACTGTAAATACTTTTCCTCAGTAAAGTAAATTGGGCATGGATATAGAAGATTAAGTAGGGTTTATTCATGTTTTTCCATTTTACTTTTCTGGTTAAAGCAGGTATTTTAAATATATTGATTGGAAAAAAAATGTTTTACATATATATGTTTCTCTCCAAAATTATTGATGAAGTTTTAAAAATTATCTTCTGAAAAAAATTTGGAAAGATTGAGCCTCAATCAGTCAAATCTATAGGACTTCATTTTTCCTAGAAAAATATTTTTGAAGTCAAAATCATCTCTGGTTGATCACCTGAATATTTTATTTAGATGCTTTAAAGAATTAACCATGTTGCTGGAGACAATACCTGCTTTAAATAAATTCTCTTTTCAATTTCTTCCAATTAACTTTATTTTCAGCCTGTGATTTCACAGTATGCTCACTTTTGGCAAGGCTCAGTGTACTTCCAAATTTTTAACTGTGGCAAAGAACTTAGGACAGACACTCTTAGAATAAATCAAAGGAAGATGTATAATACAGTTTGACTTGCATAGAGGAAGTAGTGGCAACCTCAAGCCCAGTAACATTTAATTTTGTTATTAGAGAAATTTAATATTCTTGAAATGCTCTGGGTCCAAACAGGACCACAGGAGTAGAACTTGGCAGTACTATCCTTCATTCGGATGCAGACTGTATTAGATTCTTCTAGAGCTAGGAGTTAAACTGCACCAAGCTAATGGGAAACTAGAATGACTCATTCACTACCCTCAGCATTTTCTGCTAATAAAATGATGGCCGTAACTTTGTTTCATGTTTGGGGAGAACAAAGATAAACAGAGAAGAATGTGTCTTTAACCATTTTAGGTTTTTTTTTTTTTTGGTGAATATTTGTAAAATTAAAACAGTTGTATAAGGGAAGAATATTGAATATATAGCACTCAAAGTGCAAATGAGATGCCCTTGGCATAGCTCAGTTAGCCTATTAATTGATAATACTTTAACAGAATGAGAGTAAGAAATGGAAGGGAAAGCCTTCTACGTCCATAGATTACAGAAAAGTCTGCTTGCCTGAATTAGCTGCATAGACCTAAGTCATCCTGCCATATTAGCCAATCTAATTAAGTTTTAATACTTTTAGCCCTGACACACTGATGGGCATTCAAAGGTGACATTATAGTCATAAACCGAAGTCAGCTCTACTTTTTATAAATAGATGCCACTTGGAGACAGTGATGCATTATTTACCAAAGTAGGTTAGCAACTTTTTCTCTTTTCATGGAGCCTTGTTACTGAATTAAATATTTCTTTCTCTGCATGCTCTTACTTCCATAGTTAATTTTCATTTTATTTGCATAGCTCTAGTTAAATTAGAATGATACATTTTAACATTAGTTTATCATGCTTGCATTTATTTTGTAATAAAAATTACACATCCAACCATCTGATTGTCACTAATGTGTACTCTTTTTCATAATATTTGTAGCAACCCTTCTGACCTCTGGGACTACTGCAACGGTAGCCCTATTGCGAGATGGTATTGAACTGGTTGTAGCCAGTGTTGGGGACAGCCGGGCTATTTTGTGTAGAAAAGGAAAACCCATAAAGCTGACCATTGACCATACTCCAGAAAGGAAAGATGAAAAAGAAAGGTATTACCTCCACTGATCAATTATTCTGTGGGGATGGTGTTTATAGTTCAAGAGAGAAATATAATTTTGCATTTTTAAACTGGTCCAATGCTTAAACTCAAGAGTGACTTAAGTTTATATACATACAAATGCTATGGTTTTATATATATCACATCATAGCCTTTTAACATTTTCTGGGCCAGGATCAAGAAATGTGGTGGCTTTGTAGCTTGGAATAGTTTGGGACAGCCTCATGTAAATGGCAGACTTGCAATGACAAGGAGTATTGGAGATTTGGATCTTAAAACCAGTGGTGTGATTGCAGAACCTGAAACAAAGAGGATTAAGGTAAGAAAGGATTTTGCAACGACTTGATCCAAAGAATGAATGCAGGATTTGTGTCCAGCTAGAGGCTTTCTTAGAAGCATCAGTTGAAGCAAAAATAATTTTTAAGACAGAGTCATTTGTGGAAGGATAGATAAAATAAGACACTATTCTCTTGGCCTAATATATGATGATTGACACAATAGTGGCAACAATGGACTCAAACACACCAATATTCATGAAGATGACACAGGACCAGGCAACATTTTGTTCTGTTATATATAAGGTCACCTTGAGTCAGAGCCAACTAGACAACTAGAGCAATTAACAATAACAACAAATGTATGATGTCCTCTTTGGTTTGTGTTTCACCCCAGCTGTGGAATTCTCTTGGTAGAATGTCTATTTCCTTTTTCCACCCACACCTCATCATTCAGTGTTATTTCTTCTTGGAAGCTATGCCTGACTTCACTTCTCCACCAAGCTAAATATATGCCCTACCTCTATTTCTGTGGCATCTTTTGTATTCTACTAATCAGTGCCCCCATTTCCGTAAATTGCCCCAATACTCACCCAGTCAATGAGCTGACACTTTCCTCCCTAAAATCCTCAAGCCTGCTATCATACCTGGCACAGTACAGTGTAGGCTTTCAATATGGCAGTGTTTGTGCCACTAACGTTTGTTAATTGAATGAAGAATTTGGTGTTTTATAGTATTCCACATATATTTATTTTCTCTACTGACGTAAGGTTTGCTGTAAGGTCCCTGGGTGGCACAAAGGGTTTGTGCTGGACTACTAACCTAAAGATTGACAGTTCAAACCTACCCAGCAGAACCGTGGAAGGAAACCCCTGACAATCTGCTTCCGTAAAGATTACAGCCAAGAAAACCCTATAGAGCAGTCCTACTCTGTAACACATGGGGTCACCGTGAGTTGAAATCAACTTGATGGCAACGATTTTTGTTTTTTAAGTGCCAGGCTCTGTTCAAAATTTTACAGAGAAAACAAATCTAAGGCATAAAGATGTCAACTCATCTATTCTCTCCCAGCCGAATAATAGATCCAGACTTCAAACCCAGGACCCCTGGCTCCAGAGACAGTGCTTCTCACCACGGCACCGAGCTGCCTCTCAGCGTTCTATTGTGGTCTTAGGAAGTAAACATTACGTTTGTCCTCAGTGGCTGATAGTAATGTTACTACTTTTGCCCTAAATACAAGCTTTCTTTTTCCACTCTTGTTTGCCTAGCAGAGTTAGATGAATTATTCACAGTGCATAGCTATGCTGGCTGGATATTCTTACAAGCTGTTATACAGATAGCCAATCAGCAAAACAGGTAAAATCTTTGATTCTAAAGATTATTTTAAGGCAGCGTCTGCTTTATAATCATACACATTTGGTTCTGATTGCAGCTCCATCATGCTGATGACAGCTTCCTGGTCCTCACTACAGACGGAATTAACTTCATGGTGAATAGTCAAGAGATTTGTGACTTTGTCAATCAGTGCCATGATCCCACCGAAGCAGCCCATGCGGTGACTGAACAGGTGACACAGCAGAGCTTCTCCTGCTTTGCCTCTAGAAAAGTTCTAAGAGGGGAGGAGAGTAAAGGACAGCTCCAGGCATGTGGTCTGGGTGCAGCCTGGACCACCATAAGCTTGAGATTTCTTTGAAATCTTGTGTTTTAGCTTCAGTGTTACAATGAATTTTACGTTTGACGCCATAAGATTTCCATTTAAAGATTTTTGCAATTCTCCCAAATAGTTAAGATTAATGTCTTAGGCTGGATCCTCTAGAGGAGCAAAACCAGTGAAGCTTGCATATATATACATGTGTATATATAGAGATTTATCTCAAGGAAATGGCTCACACAGTTGTGTAGGCTGACAAGTCCCAAATCCGTGGGTCATGCATCAGGCTAGAGGCTTCTCCTGACTCACGTGGTTGCAGGAGCTGACAAACCCCAAATCAGCAGGTCAGGTGGAAGGCTGCTGGCTCACGGGGTTGCAGAGCTGGTGAATCTCAAGGTCTGCAGGTCAGACAGCAGGCTGCTGGCTCACATGCCAAGAATCAGAGGTCAGAGGATGATGAGAACATCCATATACATTGGATGCAGGCCACATCCCCAGGAAAACTGATTGGCCTTTCAACTGACATCAGATCACAAAATGGAGAATGATTACATAATACTTGCCAAACCACCAATTTGACTAGGCTTGGCAATCATGGCCTAGCCAAGTTGACACATAACCTTAACTATCACAATTAATAGGCCAGGGAAATGTGCTGTGTTTATTTTATGGCTTTACATACCTCTTGAAATGATGGTAACAACAATAGTAAATAATAATAGTAAACACCAGTATATCCCTTTAAATGTGTCAATACAGTTCTTCACTTGGTTATTATGTTATATACATTAATTTGTGCTAAACAGAAAACCAGAAACCAAACCCATTGCCGTCAAATCCATTCTGACTCACAGCAACCCTATAGGAGAGAGTAGAACTGCCCCGTAGGGTTTCCAAGGAGTGGCTGGTGGATTCAAACTACCGACTTTTTGGTTAGTAGCCAAGCTTTCAACCCCTGTGCCACCAGGGCTCCACAACAGGGTGCCCATGAAATTAAGGAAGGGGGCAGATTTCGTGCATGAGTATTTCTTACTCATTTTCAACTGCTTGTCTTGCAGATATATGTATTCTAATTCACAAGGACAATGATATTTGCAATGACTACATAGTATTCCATCATATTTATGTACCGTAATTTATTTAAAAGTTCCGCCAATCAGCAGATTTCATTTACGTTCACTTTTCCATATTATAGAGAAAAACATTCCTGTATGTATTTCTTTGTGCATATCTATTTCCTTCAGATATTTTCTTCAGTTATTATTTTATTAGGTTAAGTTATTGGAAGTAAAATTGGTAGGTAAAAGAATAGACAGTTTTCTAAAGCTTTTGATAAGTTTTGCAAATTTTCCTCCAGAAATACTGTATCAATTGATACTTTCACTAGCATGTTTTATAGTTTGTGATTCTCCAAATTCTTATTATAACTAGTTTTTTTTTTTTCAATTTGATAGGTAGAAAATAAAATTTTTCGTTTAAATTTGTGTTTTTCTTTGTTAGTGGAGTTAACGATTTTGCATAGATTTGTTAGCTATTTGTATTTCTTTGTGGATTGCTGTATTTTTTCCTCTTTGCCCAATATTTATTGGCATGTTTATCCTTTTCATGGTTATTGTGTGAATTTCCTATGTATTAAGTATATTTGTACTTTGCCCAACACTGTCAGTGTTTTTATCTTTCAGTTTATTTGTAAAGCTTTTTCATTTATGGAAGCTTATTCATCAGATATTTTTCTTAACCTTTACTTCACAATTTCAGCCTCACACTGTGAGGTGTTTTAAAATACACTTGGTATCAAGTACAATCCCAAGCACTTCTTACAATGCTGACTGTATCATTTGCTATTTGAATGAGTTCCTAAAATTGATTTACAGTTCTCCTAATGTAGGAAATTTGGTTTATGCCCACTTTTACATTTTGTAAGGAGTATAATGAGCATTGAATAAGTATGGTAAAAGGATACAACTCTGACGTACACCTTTCCTGACTTTAAACCACTCAGTATCCCCCTGTTCTGTCCAAACAACTGCCTCGTGATCTATGTACAGGTCCCGCGTGAGCACAATTAAGTGTTCTGGAATTCCCATTCTTGGCAATGTTATCCATAATTTGTTATGATCCACACAGTCAAATGCCTTTGCATAGTCAATAAAACACAGGTAAACATCTTTCTGGTATTCTCTGTTTTCAGCCAGGATCCATCTGACATCAGCAGTGATATCCCTGGTTCCATGTCCTCTTCTGAATCCAGCTTGCATTTCTGGCAGTTCCCTGTCGATATACTGCTGCAGCCACTTTTGAACGATCTTCAGCAAAATTTTACTTGTGTGTGATATTAATGATGTAGTTTGATAATTTCTGCATTTGGTTGGATCACCTTTTTTTGGAATAGGCATAGATATGGATCTCTTTCAGTTGGTTGGCCAGGTAGCTGTCTTCCAAATTTCTTGGCATAGACAAGTGAGCACTTCCAGCCCTGCATCCATTTGTTGAAACATCTCAACTGGTATTCCGTCTGGACTATATGAAGAATAGGGCATCAGGATTGGAGGAAGACTCATTAAGAACCTGTGTTATTCAGATGACACCACCTTGCTTGCTGAAAGTGAAAAGGACTTGAAGTACTTACTGATGAAGATCAAAGACCATAGCCTTCAGTATGGATTACACCTCCACATAAAGAAAACAAAAATTCTCACAACTGGACCAATAAGAAACATCATGATAAACGGAGAAAAGATTGAAGTTGTCAAGGATTTCATTTTTCTTGGATCCAAAATCAACACCCATGGAAGAAGCCGTCAAGAAATCGAATGATGCATTGCATTGGGCAAATCTGCTGCAAAAGACCTCTTTAACATATTGAAAAGCAAAGATAACACCTTGAAGACTAAGGTGCTTCTGACCCAAGCCGTGGTGTTTTCAATTACCTCGTATGCATACAAAACTGGACGATGAATCAGGAAAACCAAAGAATAATTGACGCCTTTGAATTGTGGTATTGGTGTAGAATATTGAATATACCATGGACTGCCAAAAGAAATCTGTCTTGAAAGAAGTACAACCAGAATGCTCCTTAGAAGCAAGGATGGCGGAAACTACGTCTCACATACTTTGGACATGTTATAAGGAGGGATCAGTCCCTGGAGAAAGGCATCATGCTTGGTAAAGTACAGGGTCAGAGAAAAAGAGGAAGACCCTCAATGAGATGGATTGACACAGTGGCTACAGCAATGGGCTCAAGCATAACAACGATTGTGAGAATGGCACAGGACCAGGCAGTGTTCTGTTCTGTTGTACATAGTGTATCCATTAGTCGGAACCAACCTGATGACACCTAACAACAACATAATGAACATCATCTCATGCAGGAAATTTAGTTTACACCCACTTTTCCATTTTAGAAGGAGTATAATAAACATCCTTATAAAATGGAGATCAAAGACCACAGCCTTCAGTATGGATTACACCTCAACGTATAGAAAACAAAAATCCTCACAACTGGACCAATAAGCAACATCATAATAAATGGAGAAAATATCGAAGCTGTCAAGGATTTCATTTTCCTTGGATCCTGGCTCAACACCCATGGAAGCACCAGTCAAGAAATCGAACGACGCATTGCATTAGGCAATTCTGCTGCAAAAGACCTCTTTAAAGTGTTAAAAAGCAAAGATGTCACTTTAATGACTAAAGTGCACCTGACCCAAGTGATGGTGTTTTCAGTCACCTCATATACGTGTGAAAGCTGGACAATGAATAAGGAAGACTCAAAGAAGATTTGATGCCTTTGAAGTACGGTGTTGGCAAAGAATGTTGAATATACCATGGACTGCTAGAAGAATGAACAAATCCGTCTTGTAAGGAGTACAGCCAGAATGCTCATTAGAAGCAAGGATGACAAGACTTCATCTCAAACATACTTTGGACATGTTGTCAGGAGGGACCAGTCCCTGGACAAGGGCATCATGCTTGATAAAGTAGAGAAAAAAAGGAAGGCCCCCAATGAGATGGATTGACACAGTGGCTGCAGCAATGGGCTCACGCATCACAGTTGTGAGGATGGTGCAAGACCGGTTGGTGTTTCATTCTGTTGTGCCTAGGGGCACTATGAGTCGGAACTGACTCAACAGCACCTAAAACAACAACAATAATCAACATCTCATATGCAGGAAATTTAGTTTACACCCACTTTTCCATTTTATAAGGAGTATAATAAACATCTCAAATGCAGGAAATTTAGTTTAAGCCCACTTTTCCCTTTTATAAGGATGTTTATTATACTCCTTATAAAGGGAAAAGTGGGTGTAAACTAAATTTCCTGCATTAGGAGAATTGTAAATCAATTTTAGGAACTAATTCAAATAACAAACAATATAGTCAGCATCCCTATGAGTCAGGATCGACTCAGTGGCAGTGAATTTGGTTTTTTTGGGTTATAAACATTCTTCTAGTTGTATCTTTATGCACATCCATTTCCTTAGGATATTATTCTTTAGATTAAATTCCTAGAAGCAGAATTGCTAAGTAAAAGCTAACGTTCATCAAGCCCTTACCACGTATTAGGCCCTATGCTAAATGCTTTACGCGTGTTTTCTCCTTCAGGAGCTGCACGGTGCCTTAGTCAACTGGTGTTTCTATTGCCAAAATTGCTAGAGTGGAATATAGTTAATGTGGTTGTTTTAGGTCATCTGTTATTACTTGTGCAATTTAATAACCTAATAAAGGGTTAAAGAAATCAAACTATTTTGAAATAATTGGGTTAGTAGCTGTGTGTAAAAACAGTTCGACCTTCCAAAGGAAAGGTGGTTTCTCTTGTGTTGCTGTCAGTTGCTGTCTAGTTGATCTCAACTCATGGCAGCCCCATATGGGAATCCCTGAGTGGAGCAAATGGTTAAGTACTGGACTACTAACCAAAAGGTTGGCAGTTCAAACCCACCCAGAGGCACCTTGGAGGTAAGGCCTGGCCACCTGCTTCCAAAAGGTCACAGCCTTGAAAACCAAATGGAACAGTTCTACTCTACACGTAGGGAGTCGCCATGAGATTTCTCTTTGTGCAGTCTCTAATTTCCAATATTTTTCTCTCCCTTCTTGCCAAACCTTGTAGGCAATACAGTATGGTACAGAAGATAACAGTACTGCAGTAGTAGTGCCTTTTGGTGCCTGGGGAAAGTACAAGAACTCCGAAATCAACTTCTCATTCAGCAGAAGCTTTGCCTCCAGTGGACGATGGGCCTGATCGCTCACTGGGACTGAGATTTTCTGTGTAATAGTTTGTTCACTGAGCGTGTCAGGAAACTGCTAAGATCAAAACAGTCACCTGTACCAGCGTGGCCCTTTGACTAAGTCAGTACGCAAGTCAGTGTAAACCTAGTAACCATTTACATAGTAGAGTTTCATAAATACCTATCATATGTATGTTCAGCTTAATATGCTAAGTATAAAGATACGTGTAATTATGCTATTGTGACTCTCCAAGTTGAATGAAGAATGGGTTTCATGAGCAAATGAGAAATGGTTTTGATACACTTGATGAGAGTGTTAAATTTATAATTTTTAAGACTCTTAGGCAGCTGTGGGTTTCTTTTGGTCATTTTTGTTCTTTATTCACTTGAACAGGTTCTTGTCTTCAAGTTCTTCAAATTGGTCAGTATTTTGACAGCTATTCAGTGTGTTACCCACAAGTGTTTATTTTTAACATCTGTACCAAGGAGTAGGTGTAAAAACTGAGGTTTTTACCATATTTTGCATTCTGGACCACTTACTGGTAAATGTAACAATACAAAAGAAATTATTTCAGATACTATGGCATGGCTGAATGATATACCTATTTATGAACACTGTACTTGTGTATTTCAACTGTGTCACCAGGGCCTTGCCATCATTCATTCCTGTTTTTCTGTAGGTAAGAATACTACATAGATGTGACTAATTTCTTAATCTCAGAAAAGAATGCATAGTTTGAGTGCTTTGGTCAAAGCAATACAAAGTTAAATACTGACGGTATCAAGTATTTTGTATAAAGCTTTCATTTGTTATCTCTAACTTGATGTTTTGTGTTTGGTATATACTACGTGTATATCACTTTTTGTATAGAGTAAGCCAGTTAGATATCTTGTTAGTTAAAATAATACCACAGTGAAGCATATTACTATAGACATAGCTTGATTTATGTCTTCTTTTTCTCGTTCCAAAGACTTAACAATAAAAAATAAATCTAAAGCACACATGAAAACATTCTCTATGTATTTCAGTTTGCTGCGTAATTTAGCAATGTAAAATCGTATTTCCTTTTTTCTGCATGTTTTTGCTGTTAAAATGTGAATCTCTAAATGTGTGTTTGAAATTTTATCTGCAGTTTATTTCTGCATATTATCTAAGTGTGGTATATGTGGTTATTTGTATAGATGTATATTTTGGAGTTTTATAACATTAAAGGGAACAATACTACATAGCTTCTTCACCACTTACCTTTAAATTATTGCTATGAGAAGCTGAGGACAGTTTTCTTATAGTGTATAATCAATCAGTGGTTATTGGCAGTTGAGGAAACATTAAAAATGACAGTAGAAAAATACTTTGTTTGGTAATTCACCTGGAAAACTTAGGAACAGAGTCAGCATGTTGAAGCTACATTACTATTTGGTAATTTGCATATATATAATAGGATGTGAAAATGTATTGAGTGTTAAAAATGGCATAGAGTTTTGTTGTAGAAATAAAAGAAAAAGAAACCAAAAAGAAAAAGTTGAGGTAGTACATACCTTCAACTCTCAGTTATCAGAGTTGATTTTTTTTTTTTTCCTTTAAGCTTTATTTGAAGACTTATTAGAAGGAAGAGGGCCCAAGATAAACATTCACATCTTTTGTTCACCTTCTCAGGAGTAGAAGAAAATAAAATTTGAGTTTTCTTGTCTATGTTACTCAGGAATTGTCCTTTAAAGAAAAACAGCACTAAATAAATACTTCATTTTTCCCCCTCAAGGAGGTTAGATGAAAGAAGGAAAAGCATTACAGGAAAGACTATAGTCTCCTATTCATTGTTTGAGAAATAAGGAACCAAAGGTAGACTAAGAAAGCTGGAAAATAGGCTTGCTCTTGCAATAGATCTTGCAGAGAAACATGGAAGCTCCATTTAGGAATATGGAGAATTTCCAATAACAAACAAAAACTCTTAAATCACAAAAATGACATTCTACAGATGCAGGTTTCATTTTTGTTTTAAATTCTTCATATTTCTATTCCTCCTTATATTACTTTAAAAACTAAATTAGGGAGTGATGTTATCAAATTCAAAAGCCTAAGAGTCATTGATGGATTGAGGTGGATTGTCAGGTTTGACAAAGAGGAATTTGTAGGACCATGATCTGGGGTGGACTTTGCTCTGCTTCACCTGGAAACTTTTTAAAACCCTAAACCAGCCAACTTTGACTAAAGGAAAGAATATATTGGTGTTTATGTTTTTCAAGCCACAATGTTAATAGTAATTTTAAAATGGAGATTGTTACAATCCATAAAAGATAAAGATTCCTGTATTAGGCTTCTATTACTGGAAGTTATGCAAGTAGTGAAGGAAAAAAAAAAAGACTGTTCTAAATATAGTTTTCTTAGTTATAACTGTGAATTTGCCATGTGGGTATAAGTGTGGCATAAATTATATTAATGTAATAAAACTTAAATCAGTTGTATTTATGTTTGCCTTTCATTTGTGTAGTATATAAATCATCTTTCTAATATGTGTTGCCAAACTTTATTTGCCAAAATTTATTTGGCAAAATATTTTTAAAAGCATTGTGATTTTTCACAAGTGTAAGTTTTTAAGTAGCTTATATATTCAAAAGTAAATGCAGTCTTGCTTTCCATAGGCTATTACTCATTTGTTACAGATCTTTATATTTCTTAAGTTCTTCAAAGTCAATTGACCTTATGCATTTTCTGGAAAAATTCATTTTGGAGGGATCAGTTTTGATGCTTTTTATCCTCTGATGTGAACTTTTCCTGAATTCTAACATTTTTTAAAAAATTGCTTATTTTGAAGAATTTATTAGCACATAATCTAAAAAAATAGAATTTATTTTTCTCTATACATATTGCCTATTCAAAGTGAAGTTTGATTTCTTTTTTAGAATCTTGGCAGAGAATGAAGAGGCCTGTGCTAACTCTTATAAGATAGGACTTTTGGTTTCCTTTCGAAGAACAGGCATGGATTTATATTCATGCTAATATGATAATAAGAAAACCCTTGGGTTGGGAGGAGGTGAATGGGATGATGAACATTTAACGTTGAACAGTTAAACACAAATGTGTTTGTATTTTCCTTGAGCACCTGAGTGGTTCTTATGTCTGTAAAAAGTGATGTGAAATTTCAGTTGGGTTCCATTTTGTTATATTTATTAAATTCACAGCTGGATGACTTAAACAGAAACAAAATGTCATGTCTGTTACAAGGTAAATAAAGCAAATTGTGATGACTGGTTGTTGCTTATGGCATCTGGGATGAGACAGATCGATGCTATAGAAGCTCCTGTTGGCTGTTAGATGGTTGAAATGGTCCACTGATGGCCATACTGGATGTTCTTAGGCTGTGAAGTCATGGAATTCTTTCCAGACCTCCAGATATCTGACACTGGATTCCGGTACAGAATTTAGCAGCTCAGTATGTCACAAACTAATTTCTACTGAAGTGCTCTTGTGTACATTTGTTTTTATAATTTACCAGAGTACTACTTGGGTGTACAGTGCTTCCTATAGTGAACTCATGTAACTGCTGCTCTGACCACTCAGTTTTTAAGTGTATGTATTAGAGTAACTATAAGCAGACTAAAATCACATATGTCAGTGTTCAAACTACCACTTTAATAAAGTACATGCATTAATCACTTGTTTGTTTTATTCAACTTTGTTTATTTGACATCAAGACTTTCCAACATTTATTATATATGTGACCCTGTGAACACGGACACGAAAGAATGAAAGAATAGTTGGAAATTTTTACTAGCCAAATTATGGCTGTTGTCAAAATTAATTGGAGGAATATTTGAAAAAAAAAAAAAGCATATTCATTTATCTATTCAAATCTTTTTGCCACAGTCTAAAACAAAATTCTTCTCTTTTATTTCCTGCCTCCAAAATGTATGTTGGTACCTTAGAGAAAAAAGGCCATGCTGAATTCTACAATGTTTTGCATAAGGTTTCAATAATTTTGTGATATATTTCACTGCAACAATCTTGCAAGAAAAATTAGAAGCAGATGTTTGGCAGTGATACGGTGGAATTCAATACGTTGTGCATTTAATGTAAGCAATTTCTAATGTCATTGATTGAATAAAATGTAGTGTTTCACATTCCACTAGCGCAAGGATCTCTTCGAGAGTGTATCCCCGAAGGTAGCATGGTAAGCTGCATGGCTGCAGAGGTCTGTTGCATTTTTTTCAAATTCCATACCTAGCACTTTCCATATGTTTAACAAAGAGGAGCAGTCATTAATGTTTGTTGAGTAAATTAATACATTGAATTATACATTCATTAATTTTTGCTTATGTTAGTGGGGAAGGAGGCACTGAGATATTTTAAATATTAAGCCAAATGTATTTAATAATAAAACATTTAATGCTCTGCAGTTGCTCCTTTCTTGTTTTTCTAAAGATAGTGATCAGTTATGCCATGGTAAAGTACAAGTTAATATAGATATAGTTCAGAATCTTGTTCTAAAACTCATTTAAAGAAATCAAAACCTAAATGACCCCATCTGGAGCAAGGGAGAATGAAGAAAACCAAAGACGCAAGGGAGAGATTAGTCCAAGGGACTAATGAACCACAACTACCCCAGCCTCCGCCAGACTGAGTCTAGCACAGCTAGATGGTGCCTGGCTACCACCACTGATTGCCCTGACAGGGTTCACAATAGAGGGTCCCGGACAGAGCCGGAGAAAAATGTAGAACAAAATTCAAATTCACAAAAAAAGGCCAGACTTACTGGTCTGACAGAGACTGGAGAAACTTTGAGAGTATGGCCTCGGACACCCTTCAACGCAGTACTGAAGTCACTCCTGAGGTTCACCCTTCAGCCAAATGTTAGACAGGCCCATAAACCATGCTCAACCATGTATATGAGACTAAATGGATACACCAGCCCAGGGGCAAGGACAAGAAGACAGGAGGGGACAGTACAGCTGGACAAATGGAAATGCGGAACCCGAGGTTGAGAAGGGGAGAGTGTTGATAGGTCGCAGGGTTGGCAACCAGTGTCACAAAACAGTATGTGTATTGTTTAGTGAGAAACTAATTTATAAATCTTCACCTAAAGCGCGTGCACACACACACATAAACACTTAACTGAGCAGAGCTAAATGAGTGAGTCTAGCCTTGCTTCTTTAGAAGATGAGAAGGGAAATGACTATTGAGGTTGCTTATGTGCCATACTCTTTTGCACATGTTATCTCATTTATTTTTCACAACCATGCAGGGAAACCTTTAATTCTCCTTTTTACAGATGAAGAAATGGATCCTTGAAGCAGTTAATGATGGCAAGACCTAAAATTCAATCCAGGCCTCTTTAACTCAAAGTCTATGTTTCCTCTACCATACTTCTATTATTAGCAAAAAGAGAACCTACTCACTACTATCAATATCATCTATTGAGCATCCGTCTGCAGGAGGCTGTCATGGACATGTAAGAGTTATGAAGTCATGACCCATAAACTCTAACTTAACAGATGGATGAACATATTAGAGATGGAAACTGAACACAAGTCACATAAATAAATTAGGGTTGTAGTTAGGTGCCGTCGAGTCAGTTCTGACTCATAGTGACCCCATGCACAACAGAAAAGAGCACTGTGAAGTCTTGCACCATCCTCACAATTGTTGGAGCACATTGCTGCAGCCACTGTGTCAATCCATCCGTCGAGTCTTCCTCTTTTTCCCTGACCCTCTACCTTACCAAGCATGATGTCCTTTTCCAGGGACTCTTCCCTCCTGATAACATGTCCAAAGTACATGAGACAAAGTCTCGCCATCCTCACTTCCAAGGAGCACTCTGGCTGTACTTCTTCCAAGACAGACTTATTCATTCTTCTGACAATCCATAGTATATTCAATATTCTTTGCCAACACCATAATTCAAAGGGCTCAGTTCTTCTTCAGTCTTCCTTATTCATCGCCCAGCTTTCACATGCATATGAGGATATTGAAAATATGGCTTGGGTCAGATGCATCTTAGTTCTCAAGGTGACATCATTGCTTTTCAACATTTTAAAGAAGTCTTCTGCAGCAGATTTGCCCAATGCAATATGTTGTTTGATTTCTTGACTGTTGCTTCCATGGGCATTGATTATGGATCCAAGTAAAATGAAATCCTTTACAACTTCAATATTTTCTCTGTTTATCATGATGTT